ACTCCCTGCCCCTTGCCTGGGCAGCTGAAGGGACTCCCCAGAGCAGGGTCAGGGCATGTGCTGGCAGGGTTTGCCTAAAGACAGACACAAAGAAAACCACCACTTTTCTTCTGCTGGGGGAACAGGCTAGTGACTAGAGTCTGGGCCTGAGTCAGAGAAGTAGTATTGTGTGCTCAGGAACCTCTGATAGCAATAGCGGAGGTGTAGCCATGGCTGAACCTGGGATGATGTGTTGGGATTCACCTATTTTAATTCATTTACATGATAGATAATTTGCTGTGGCTGGTACCTGAGTGCCAAGAAGCCCTTTTGTGGATACCTGAAGGCACTTGCCCAGGGGTGAGTCTGACAGGGAATGGAGGGGCCTGCAGGAATGACAATGGGCAACCTAGCAGGGATGGAAATGCTTCTCTTGAAACCATAGCCCTGAGCCAAAGCCACTGAGTACAGTGGTGTTGGGCTCCCCACCAAGTATCCAGTCACCTTTACTGACTAGCTGGAGGGCAAGGAAAGTGAAAGAGCCACTTACTTCACCTTGGAGAAGACAATGTCCACATCTGTGCTGGTGACATTTTTGCCGTCTGTTACTTTGCAGTCCTTGCACAGTTTGGCCCAGTTTTTCCCATTCATTTCTTGCCCTGTTGCTTTGGTATCTCCATAAATGGCAAATTTCCGGAAGCTGTCTTCCAGAGATTCCATGTCAGTGCTTTCAGCCATATCAACCTGCCAGAGTTGGAGCAGAAGTGGGTCCATTACCAAGCAAATGTCAGCAATCATGTCAGCTATTGCACCGGCTAGCATGCATCAAGGCACCTTACTAAGCCTCTTATGTCTCTGTATCCTGCAAAGCCTTGCAGGACTGAACTGCATTGGGACAAGGCAACCAATGGCTAGAACAGAAGGAGGACCTGAAGGCCTGGAGTGGAGGTGACAGACTGAGGTGGAGAAACAGAGCTGGAATAGATGGAAGGTTATCGAGCACCCTGAAAATCATCCATTCAACCCATCATATAGTACCTACCATAAAGCATGTTATGAAACCAACCCCCCAAAAACCCTATGTCAGGTATCCAGGTTGTAGCCATACTGGTCTAGAGGAAGAGGCAATCAGGACTTGTAGTAGAGATTAGACCTTTTATTAGACCAACACATTTTTTGGAAAAAATCTTGTTGGTCTAATAAAAGATATAATCTCTTCTATGAGTCCTGATTGCAAAAAACCCTATGGCCTCCTACAGGTACATGGAGGTAAGCAAGGGCACAACTAGTACCCAGTCACTGAAATGGCAGAGAAAAAATTGATTAATATATGCTCAATCCTACGCCTCATGCTTCATGCTGTATCAATGGTTCTCAACCTTTGGGATGCCTTTTTGGACTCAAGGCACCCTTCACTGAACTAAAGTACCCTCCATAGTTTTTCTGAATTGAGTAGCACCCAATTTAAAAAACAATGGGGTCGGGGAGTGGGAGTGGGGGATTGCCCAGGCAGGGACAAAGCAGAACTTGCCCATATCTGCTTATCTCCTCACACTTCACTTATCTCCCCACAATTCAAAGTACCCTTCAAAGGATTTGGTGGCACCCCAGCATGCTACAGCACCTTGGCTGAGAATCACTGTGCTAGAGGAAGGCAAATTTCCTCCCCTCCTTCTCCTCTCCATCTGAGCAGGGGGAGGAGGGGATTCTTTCCTGGACCAAATCTGGCAATTTCATTTTTCCTTAATGCATGAACAAGACCCTCCAGCCGGATACCTGAGAGGTGTCTAAGCATCATTAGGAGAATCACGACACCCCAGGCAAACCTCCCATCTTGGCTGTGATCAATGTCCAATGTGGCAATGGAAGGTCGGGGAAAAAAGCTGGAAACCAGTAAAGTGTTCATGAGGGATAAAATACTCCCTTCTGGCTCCTACAGGTGACCAGCAGAAGCCCTGAAGCACGATATTACCAGGCAACCCCTGCACAAAGACTTACATCTCAGCTTAACATGAGCATTGCAAATACTTGAGCCCACATGTTACACATGCTGATTACTGATCCAAGAACACCCCCTTCTTATCCTTCTATCCCATCTATAAACATGCTGAGCTCTGTCTTGAAATTCCAGTTCTTTATCCGCCAGTTACATTGTCCCCACCCCAAAACGACCCCAAAACTTTGCTCTTGTAATAGTTAGAAAACTTCCTCTAGTTTCCAATCTAACTTTGCTCATAACTAGTTTCTATCCATGTGATCGTATGATATCAATGGATATTATTCTTAACTTTGGTTCTCCATGCCCTTAGCCATATTAGGGGGTCTCTCTTTGTAGCTACTCCAGTTTCAATGAATCATTCTTGAACATTGGTGACCATAGCTACACACAATGGGATCTTCACAATGCCATGTACAGTGAAACTAGTACTTCCTTACCTCTACAGAATATACCCTGCCTCATACTACCTAGAATTGCATTATTCTTTTTCTTGGCGACATCACGCTGGCAACTTATAACGATTGTACAATTAATGGGGACATGCAAGTCCCCTTCTTCCTCTGTTGCCTCCAGCTTATGGGCCTCCGTCTGATAGCCAGTGTTCTTGTTGTTGGTCCCTAAGTGCATGACTTTGCACTGCTAAACTTCATGCCGTTTCTAATACTCCAGAAACTAAGGTTATAGTCCCAACCTGGCCCTCCATGAAGGGGCCAATGTTCCAAAGAGTTGGATCTGTTTCTTCTAACCGTCTTGTCCATGCCAGGGCTCCTCCAGGTGGACAACAAGCACCACTGGTCACTTCTGAAATCCCCTAGCTCAGCAAGGCTCCTGCCGCACACCACTTACATTCCTGCTTTGTGCCAGGTCCCACCCACCTGCAGGGTGGGCCCAGAGGGCATGGGCTGAGTTGGGCTGGGAGGTTGGCTGGCCCAAGCCCTTAGTTACAGACTGACATTAAACAAAAACAAGCTGTGTGCTTGGCTGCTGGGATGGCCAGAGTTTGTGCTGCTTGGTGTTGGTTGCTAGGGGAGGGTTGCACTTCTTGGAGACTGTTGCTAGGAGAGGGCTGTGCTGCTTGAACACTGTTGCTGAGGGAAGCATGGTGTCACTGGTCTATTAGCATGTGTAAGTATAGAAAGACAGACACACTTCAGCTCCCATAAAATGCTGCCAGCATAAGGGCAGCTTCTCCAGAGACAGGAACCAGCTTCTATCCAGCCTTTGATCTTCTAACCTACAGACAGAGGGACAGCACCAAGGCTCCCACTGAGGAAGACGTAAACGGTGGCAATAAGGGTATTGCAGAGAAAAGAAGCCAGTGTGTCAGATACAGAGGCACTTGCCATATTGTTCCAATTATAAATCAATTTCCCATTTTTCAGGGTCAATTTTAGGAAAAACTGCTCCCCACCCTCCGAATACGAGATGATAGCTAAAAATAAAGATCTTGAACCGCCATTTTCTTACAAACTCCCACAGGAGAATCAAATAACCAAAAAAATAACCTACAGGGTTAAACACATTAAAATATTGTAATAAAAACTGCACTGGTTAAAAAAAAAAATCCAATTCAGTACTTTTGCTGCACATCCAAAAATACTGCATCAGGGGCCTAAACATGGGTTGTTCGAGTCAGGTGCAATTTTTATAGTTCTTTTGGAGGAGAAATCAAGTTTGATTTACAAGCGGCACAATATGAAATGTGTAGTGGCTCATACCAGTACATATAAACATGCACACAGATGCATGAAAATGCCTACACACAGGCACATGCACACAGGCATGAATCCACACACACACACAAGTGTGTTGCCAGCCCCAGCACCCAGCACTACTGGTCATGGAGCGAACCCTCTGATGGCCCAGCCCAGAATGATGGGTCTCTCCATCTTGTCCATTGCTGGAGCCTGGGTGGGGCCCAGAGTGCTCCTGCACAGTGAGAGGGTGGCTGACTGCACAGCACCTTGCCTCCCAAGTGGGGAGCCTATTGGAGTGTGATGGAAGCAGACAGCTGTAGATGATTAATCAGCCTCTGCAGCAAGCAATTAACCTGCCAGCCAAGCAGCACATCCCAGCCCAGACAAAGGGAGCTTCTCAACCATGCTCTGCACTCTGCTCCGCATTCCCACAGGGACACTGATTCTACTGGAGTCCTCCCTCCCATTAAGATGAATAAACACGCGCCCCTCCCGCAGTGCAGGTATCTTTGTTCTCTTACAAGCAAGCTGACGGCAAGATGATGTCAGACCTCCCCAGAACACTGCATACCCCTCCCCACACAGCTCAGTGCAATACAGCTCCTTCAGGCCTGGGGGAGGAGTGGCGGGGGGGTGGGCAACACATCAGGGACTGGGAGGTCCTGCAACCTCCAAGTCTCCACAGCACCTGGCTCTACCTTCTGTGTTGAGCAAGCTGACTCCAGAGTGCTCAGAGATGGTCTGGAAAGTGAAGCCCCACCCAAGTCCTGTGGAAGGAGGACAGGCTGATAGCAGGGCCAAGACTGGGATCTAATTTTCCAGAGTCTATAACTAGATATTTTACCCCTGATGCTTCTATCAATAAGATTGTCCTCAGGGTCTCACTGTTGCTCTATCAGACTTATCCCTGGGCTAGTCACGACTGGAAGGGTCCCAGAAATGTTTTCTTACTCACTCTCCTGTCAAGTGGAGTCCCATTGCAGGGGCTAGGCCCCTTGTGCCAGAGCTGCTGGCCCTGCCACTGTCATCTTATCTACAGGGAGGACTTAGTGCTCCAACCCAGTCTCTCTGCCACCTTATACCAGTGCTTGGTTCAGTCCATTTTACAGGTAATATAACCCTTCCCAATTCCAGACACTGAACATTGGGGTCTGAAGGCTGCTAGGGGGTTGTGGGAGCCCAGGAAACTAGTAGGAGGTGGTTGTTGCCAGCATGGAAGGAACCTTTCAGCATACACTCCCTAAGCACTGCAGGATGGGGCAGCACCATCTGACAATGCTGAGCAGACCTGACTGGGGTTTCCATTGCCCTGCTCCACAGTCACTGCTTTCCACTCCAGGGCATCTGAAATGAATTCACAGAGCCAGATGGAAGAAGAGCCCAGGACTGTGCAGGCTGCAGTGCCCAGGGTGGGGCCCAGAGCAGCAGAGACTGCAGTTCCTGGGATGCCGCAGTGCGGCATCCCAAGCAGGGATCACAACAGTGCCTGGGGCAGGTTGCTTTCCTGGCACATGACTTAAAGGAGAGCTAAAAATCACTGGACTAGTCTGAAGAACAGAACCCACCCTCAGAAAGCCTGGGAAGCCTATAAACACTGCAGGTTACAGGTGACTTTAGAGAGAACGGCACATCTGTATACATATGCCTGAGTTGTGGATTCAGGGTTACATGCAGGAGGGTTCTGCTGGATTGACCTGGCTTCTGTTTCTGGCTCTGGAAAGCTCACATCCCTTCTTTTTGTCTCACTGGTGAAGTAGAGGTAATGGATTTCCCTTCCTTTGCAAAGTACCTAGAGACATATGGATGGACAGTGCTGTTTTAGAGTGTGTGTGTATGTGTGTGTGTGTGTAAGGTGTGTATATATATATATATGCCCATACTCATGTGTAGTGGCATATAGTATGTATGTATGTGTACAGTGATCAGCATATGAGGGGTGTACAAATGTGTGCAAATATATGTACAGGGTGTATGTGTGAAAGAGGCATGGAGAATATGCATGTATGCGGGGGGAGTGTTTCTGTCATGTATGCATTTCTCTTTCCTAGTACCATTACTAGCTTCAGGGTATGCACTTAAATCACCTCTGACTCTGCTTTAGTGGCCAGCATGGAGCACCCCACCCCAAAGTTAGCTCTCCGCACTGGACCAGGAGAGTACCCAGCCAGCCTGTGCTTCAGGATGGGTCCTCCCTTCTTACCTGAACAAGTAATCAGAGCCTCCTCCTCAGCGCGCCTAGAAGCAGCACACTCAGAGTGAGGTAGGCGAGTTCCATTCCTGTTCCCCCCATCCCCTGTGCAAGTGCTACGCTCTGTCCAGGGATGGCCCCCCTGGATATGCAGGACATGTTCCACCAGCACTGCACACTGCTCTGCTATGCATTCCCAGTTGCTCCTTAGTGATGCCAATTCAGGCAGCCAGTGCAGACCTCCCCCACACCAGCCTCCCTGCTTCCTTTCCCGCAACAGAAGCAGCCCACCAGGGCTCCAGCTTTGCTGACTTACCTCCTGAAATACCTCTGCTGAGCTGGGCAGGCTGGACGGAGAAATGTGCTCCCTCTCACTCTCCAAGCTGAAATGCTACTCAGAGGCTGAGGGCTATTATCTGCTGTTTATTCCTGTTTCCATAGAGACATCCTGTTAAACAGCAAGGCAGTGTAATAGCAATGTTCTAATGCAGGAGGGTGACCAAGGTCACTGTGAAGAGAAACACTCCCTCCTCCTGCCTGCAGTGCCAAAGCGCCTCCGGCTGGGGATGAGAGAGTAATTAGCTGGAGTGCACAACATAACAAAGAAGCTCCAATTCGCACTTCTATCCTGCCTGCCAGAGCCAAAACCCAGCCAAAGAGCCCATTAGCATAATCACTGCTGCTGGGAAGGGGCAGGGAGGGAGGACTCAGTCCCCTTGCACGACTTGGTTTTGCTTGCTGGGGTTGATGGATGGTGGAAGAGGGAGGAGTGGACAGGCACTGGGGACAAGCTCATGCCAGAAAGGGGAGATGGCACTAGATTATCTGGAGTTTTGTGGACCTGACCCCAACTGCGGTGCTGCCACAAACAGGGACTGAGTGAGAATGAGCCCTGTGGGCCTCTCCTGTCAGGTGAGACAGGCATATGGCTCACCCTCAGGAAGGGAAAACAGTTCTGGGAGGGGAGGAAAGGGCAGTTTCATCTCATTGTCAGCAATAGCATCTTTAACTTGGTGCCCATGCAGAACCCTTATACTTGGTGGGTGGGGGTACAGGTATAGGGATAGGTGCACGGTTGTGTGGTGCAAACTGTGTAACAGGTTTTTAGTGTGCTTTGAGATGCCAAATGAACCACAAGGACCAGTTGGCAGAGTGTTGGAGGTGGAGTTATATACATACACACACACACATACATATTTATTTATACATATACATGTATACACACACACATATTTATTTATACATATACATATATACACACACACATATATATTTATATATATATATATATATACACACACACATATATATTTATATATATATATATATATACACACACACATAGTGCAAAAAACCCCTTATACTTGGTGCTGATCACTGAGGAGAAGACAGACCACCACAAAACTCTCAACCAACAGGGGCTTGAGGGCCTGCCATCAGGCAGAGCCTGGACACTGAGCATATTGGCTCTGGGGTGACCAAAAAGTAGTGAACATGGAGCCCAGCAGTGCCATTCAATGGAGTGGTGTCCACAGCAGGGTGCATGTACAGTGCCAAAGGCTCAGACTAGGCAGCTACTTCATGCTTATTTGGCCACTGCAGCGGGCAGGCACACTGTATCTCAGCCTCAGGGGGCATATCTATACATGCATTTACTCTGGTGTAAGGCCAAATTTACTCTGGTGTAAAATACTCCAGAGTAAGGGGTTTGGGGCAGGCATCTACGCATGCAAGGATTAGGGAGTAGATTTGCACCCAGTTCCCTGCAGCCCTGCAATGGGCCCCTGCCACCACTGGGGGGAGCTCCAGGTGCTAGCCCAGGGCTGGCAGGGAGCAGGGGGCCAGTATACAGCTGCATTCTGCTACTGTGGGTAGTGGGGCCAGGATACAGCTGCCTGCTGCTAGGGTGGGAACAATGTCCCCCTGCCCTAACAGCAGTGAGCTCCTGGCCCTGGCTCCCCCATCAGGGGCATGGGGGCTGGAAAAAACCGGGGAGGGGGGGGCGGAACCCCCCTGCCCGGATCCACCAGTGTGACAGTTAGCTTGCTGCTAGCTGCTTCACCAGTGGATCAGGGCAGGGAGCTTGGACCTACCCCACCCCTGCAGCTTTTTTCCAAGCCCCGTGCTTCGATCACCCAATCGGGGCACGGGCCTGGGACCTGCCCCTGACCAGGACAGTTCCCAGCCAGCCCCAGGCTGTACAGGGAAGTCTACATGTGCAGCCCAGAGTTGGCAGGGGACTGTCTGAAACAGGACAGTCCCCAGCCACCTCCAGGCTGCAGGTGCTTTCCTGAGCAGCCTGGGGCTGATGAGGAACTGTCCCAATCAGGGGCAGGTCCCAGCCAGCTCCAAGCTGGGTGGGGAACTGTCCCCATGCACGGAGCTCCAATCGTGGAGTGGGGGCTGTGGAGCTTATTCCCAGCCCCCATTCTGTGATCATGGATAGGGGGCTGGGAACAAGTTCCCCAGCCTGTTTCCCCTACAGCTCCATGTTCCCAGAGCTGGGTGGGGAACAGGCTCCCCTGCCTCCATTGGCAGGGAGCTCCCACTGCTGGCTCCACAACCATGGGGCTGGTGCTGGGAGATCCTTATTTCCCAGCCCCCGCTCACAGATTGCCATCTCAGAGCAAGGGACTTGGAGCTCCTTGCTGCCGGGGCAAGGGGACATAGTCCCTGCTCGGGCTCCTGTGGTGGAGCCTGCCCCAACAGCGGCCAGCTCCCAGGAGTGGTGAACAATATGTCCCCCCGGTGGACAGCTGACCAAGAGCAGATTTTGCTCCCGGCCAGGCATCTACACGAGCACTACAACACTGTTACTAATTCTAATATTATAAAAGCCTAAGTCTGTCTGTCTGTCTGTCCGTAATGCTTTATTTGCACTCTGATTAACTGACAGAAAACAGCCAATCAGAGTGCTTCCAGTGTGGGGGAGCTTCGCCACAATTCCAAAGTCGCACTGAGGACTGGACAGAGGGTGGGAAGCTGCTGGCCTTGGCTCCCTCACTCCACACCCTGGAAGTGGCACCAAGGACTGGATGGGAGGCTGGGGAAGCTGAGGCCAGCAGCGCTGGCTGGCCTCGGCTCCCCCACCCTGCTCCCTGCAAGAGGCAGAACAGCGGCAGCATGGGGTGCTAGGTGCCAGCACTCCATCTCAGCCCCCTCACCACCCCCCCTGTTATTCTTGATGGGCAATTAGCTAGCCTCATAAAGATTTGCTACTTGCATTTGCAGATAGGAAATTTACTCAGGATTAAGGGGATTTACTGACTAATAAGCATGTGCATGTGTAGACACATGTTTACTTCACAGTAAACAATGCTAAAATGAAGTTAAGCATCTCATGTAGATGTGCCCAGGGTACATCAGACTGAACACAGTGCCAGGGGCAATAGATGCACAGTATGTGTGAGCACTTGGCCATACGGCGACTCATGTGGCCACCAGAAGGAACATAGTCAAGTGCAATGTGTCAACATGCATAATATGGGGGACACATGGGTCCAAATAATCATGCTTATGAACAATGCACAAACATGCAGGCTTATGACCACTGCTGTTCTAATTGGGTTCTAGTGGCTTCTGAAACATAGGTGACAGTAAAGGTCACCAGAAAGCTCACAAACTATTTAAATTAATACTACCCCATTCATATAGATCACAGCAGGGTTGTCATCTGCTTCACATTTCAAAGGACAGGCCCTCTATTTAGAAAACTCTCCCTTCTTCCTGAGATCCAGGACTAGCAAAAAACACGATTTGCTATTTAATATATGACAGCATTTCCTTTCAAGAGATTCCTACAAAAAGTGTGTTAATATGGGACACACATGGTTGTGAAGACCACATCTTCTCTCACTGCCAACTTTTTCTGTACATGGGACAACATTTCTTACTGACGTAGACATTAGGTCCCTTCACAGGAGAGAGAACACAGGTCTCTAGTATAACAGTACTAACCTCCACTGCCTTGCCAAAAGGCTGACAAAGTTATTCTGGTCTGTCTGTAATCACTGGGTGTGTTTACATGATATGCTTACTGCAGAGTATACTAATGAGCTGTGCAGTAAGTGCTGCACATCTACATGTACACCCCTATTAGGCTGGAATAAAATAATTAACTCCCCAGTTGGATAATTCTTGTAAATACAGGTACTATTCTGCTGTGGAGGAGCAGCGCACATGGAGACACTGCCCCAGCTGGCTGGGGTATAAGGGTGCTTCATTGTGGGGGCTGCCTGCCAGATAACCCTGCACTGAAGCATCCCTGGGCTGGCAAACAAACCCCAGGGCCCCCTGCCAGCCAGGATTCCTCCTACCTGGCTCAATGTACTGTGGCCCCAGGCACACATTCAAGTGGTGCACCTGGGAGCAATAAACTCCACAGCAATAAGCTCTGGAGTTTATTGCTTCACATTAATTGCACATGTTGATGTGATCTCTAGGTCTTAACTTCTCGCAGAACCAGTAACAGAACACCACAGTTCCTGTTCTTCAACAGCAAAGAGTGGTGTTGTCCACTGCCGAAGTGGGTATCAAACATACTTCTCCTCTCCTGTGGGCCTGGTCCACACCAAGGAAACTGCACTTACAGCACTTACACTTCTTTAGGTCACATAGTAAATATCAGTGCTATGGCTCTGAAGGAATTGTGTTCAAACTCTGATGATGATCGCATAAGCAAAACAGGCAGCACACACTGATAGGCCTTGCTCACACAGATGGAGCTGCACTGATGGAACAACTGTGTCAAATATCTGAAGCAGTCCCCCCTGCTGATGTTAGTGGCTTCAGAACACTGAGGACTAGACTCACAACAGGACTTAGATATTAGGGCTGTGTGAACCTTCAGTCTGCAATTCGATTTGGAGAAGATTCAGCCTGATTCGGATGCCAAATCTCCGAATCTGAATCAAATCAGGAGAAGCTTAGTACTTTCTGAATCTATTCAGAAAAGATTCAGAGATTTGGAGGTGGTCTGTCAGGGAAACAGAAACTGAGAGGAGGGAAGAGGAATTGGGGGGGGGAAGGATTGATAGCTCTAGCTGGCCAGTGATTGTGATCTCTCCCTGAGTCCCCTTCCAATCACAGCGTCTGGGGGAGGGACATAGAAACAGCATATAAGCCTCTGCCTGCATGCTTTGTGTGCCTTTTGTGAGCTGTTTCTGCCTGAGTGAGCAACAGCATCTGAAAGGTACTGGACTGGCTTGGCTTCCTAGTCAGTTGCCTGCTACTTTTTGTTCTTGGAAAGGATTGAATAGGATATAACTTAGCTTAGCTTACTAACTAGAATCCTTCTACTTTACTTATCCCTATCCAATTCATTTCTTTCAATTTATATTTGTTCTTGGGGTTTTTTTCCAAAACTTTTTTAAAAGAAAGCTGTGTTTTCGCTGGCAGTGTGATCCATCACTGTGCAGGGAAGCACACATTACACACACTCACACACATACATCATAGAAGAAGTAGTCA